GGGAAAGGACTCATTGCAGAAAGTAAATCCATGCCTTGGATGAGAGAGGGTAGTAGTAAGTCAATCTATTCTATCAGTGATGGTCTGATGATGGTTAATGAGCCGASGGAAGTCGTTTGTTGCTCATAAGATGTGAAATTTAYATGTGTTCCTTAGTGTTGCATAATAMAGTTTSTGGTTTACAGTAAGGAATGAYGAGGTTATTCGCTGTGCTGGAATTTTACCTCACAAGGGGAGCAGTGCAACAAAAWAATATTMTATCTGAACAATCAGTTTCATTCACTTTCCATTGACATTGAATTCATTGCTAGATAGTTCATTTTCTTAAACAATTTAAATTGCTGAATCACATTATGATATGATACAAAAAACAAATTTATGGTGGTATTTTTGATCTTTTGCAACAACATATTAAGCTATTTGATTCAAAGTGTAGTTTTKTCTACTTAGTAGTATTGTTTAARTTTCGTATTTTGTCTTGACTTATTTGTATTGCTCAGCAATAACGTTACTTCTTCTCATGCACCCAAAGTCAAACTCCAGTTACKTCCATAAACACCCAATTCCCATTCTCATGCATGGCGTCGGAATCATACAGAGAGGGACACATCACAGTGGTTTCCAGGCAAGCACCCTATATTRTTCATCAAAATCAGAATGACCTTTCTAATKTATAATGCAAAGCTTTTTTGAACCATCAAGTTTCCTCCCACGAGATACTTTGCACATTTTTCAATGATTTATAAAAGAAATTTGTGTTCAAATGGCTTTCTCTCAGAAGCTCAGTGGSCTTAAAGTAATCGTTTGATTATTAGGTCTRGGTTCCGCTCGGTTCGTGTTCTATTAGCAGCAGTCACACTTGTGGTCACCACAGATTACGTCAAGGTTGAGAAGAATGCGGCCCTGATCCTTTGGCACATCGTGAGGTGACCGATGAATCACCGGTAGATATCCATTACCATTCGTTACAGATTGCGGTGGATGGTGGTGCTGTCTCGACGTCTCGGACCATCGGTAGCCTGGTAAAACAATGGGTTCTCCCTCAGTAGCTTGCTGAATTGGAGCGTGGGATTTTTCTACACAAACGTCTTTCCAATGACGTCGTCCGCTGCCGATGTCCTGCTCCTGTTGTGTCAACATCTCTCTATCGGGGTAGCGAACACGGTGTAGGTACTTGTTGGGTTTCGATTCATCGTCCACATAGCTTGTCCCAGGTCCTAGCATGGTTTGTATCCAGCGAATTGGGACGTTATCAATATGCCATAAGGGACACCGCGTCGCCGAATCTCCGTACATAGCGGAAAGTTTGAGCCTGTACATCTCAATATCGTGCAGACTTGATTCACAAATATCGACGTAGGCTTTCATGCTCGATACGAGATTCAGCAATCGAGCAGCCGGATAAAGTTTGAGATTCCGGCCATCGACGAACCAAGGGTTTGTTTCGCCAACGACGTATCGTGCCACCTGAACAATATCGTCTTCGGGCTTCCACTCGACACGGATTTCGAGGCCTAGGCCGTCATTACTCTTAACAACGGAAGATATCTGTGACCAAGCTTCGAGGTTGACTTCATAATCGCAGGGGGCTGGTTTCATCACGGAAGAACGGTGACTCTGCTCTTTATCTCCCTCGTTTTTGGAAAAAGTCGTGATCGCAATGCCWTCGTCCGACGCAATATCGTAGGGTGTTGATRCGCTTTGTTGCTGGGCTCGCAACAGACTATTGTGGCTTGCATGGTGTTGATGTGGTTCCGTCTTCGGCTTGGGAGAAGGAGAAATTGACAGAGCTGCCGTGGATGCAATTAAGGAAGCCATCGAAGTTGCGGTTGCAGGTGCAGAGACTTTCATAGCGTCTTCTATCACRTGTAACTCAAATGAGATGATTTTATTTGGTTCGCTTGAGTTGTGTCGTGCTTTGTTGTTRTCTCRAAGTGCACAACTAAAATTGAAGAGCGATAGGAGCGCTGGAGAGAGCTAGAAGAAAGAGCTCTCGTGATGTGGCGTAATGTGTTATCTTGTGAGAACAACAAATCACCCCGTTTCAACGTACACGCTGTTGCCGTTTCCATTCCGTAGATGCGATGTATCGGAGCACAGAAAACTTGCCGATAGAAAAAAATTATTTCGTTTCGGATTTGATTCGAATCGTAAATCGATACGATGGCCTTTTCGAAGGCTCGTTTTAGGCCGAAACGGCCGTGGGAAAAGCCTTCTGTACTTTTTTGAGCCTTTGTCATCTGTCACCGCAAAGCACAATGTATTATCGYATCAGATGGGAAATCAATCGATTCGGAGAGATAGGGTAGAGGAACAATGCTTGGTCGTAAATGCTATCGTAGCAGATACCTTGTGATCCTAAATTACCCAACATCATTTTCGATCAAATGTAAATGGATGCGTTGCCGCTTTGTCGTTTCATATTTCAGTATTGGATATCGAGAGTACATTTTCTAACCCATCGTCGAAAACGTGAAATCCACAACATGCGCCTGCTCGATGCGTGTGCTCGTTCGTCTTTTAGTAGTACTTACGGTACGTACTGTAAACAACGATCCTGTACCCCGTACAGGTACCGTACTACAGTACTGTACTAATCATATACTTCTATGGTACGATATGTACGTAGGTACTGATGCTCTACTATTTCAAGCCCATTTTGTTCTGTGACAGGGAATCATCTATCCTCCCGAATATGAAGCTCTGAAGTACAGTAGTAGTTTTTCCTTTGTCCTTGACATAAYGTGCATACCTTTGGTACATATTAGATATTGGTACCCTACAAAAGTTTAATTTAACGTGTAATGACACGTGGAGAATTTTACAGGACTACTTAATCGTACTCCACGTGTTTGTTGTCGTAAAAATAGTGATCAAACGAAGTCGTGTTCATCAGATAATTCATCAGATAAATATCTTACCGTTTTTCTTATTCAGAGCGATACGATTGATTGATGAGAGCCTGATGCTACCGTACTCTTACTGGTTGGAGCAGTACTTACTCGTACGAACATGAACAGYAAGGTTGCGCCGTGCGTTACATATCCATTGAAAATCCATGACCTCTGCGCATCAACCCCTCACCTTCATAAAGTCAATCGACGGTAACAGTCTGCGTGTGGATAACTCGCTCCCTGGGTTTGACCTCTAAAATGGAGAAAATGATCGCAACCGTGGTCTTAGTGACCACATTGTTTACGTCCTCTGTCGCAACCAGCGGTCCGTCGGGATATCCCGGAGCACAGTCGTACAATGGATACARCCACCAGCAACAGTACCAGCCACAGCAGCAGCAGACCCAGTGGCAGACAGGCACGTCGTACCAACAAACGCAGACTAGTTCTACGTCAGCAGTAGCTGCCTCCGAACCGGCCACCCCATCCGATGACCTTGAGCCTCCCCCTCTGCCAGAAGGATGGAGCGAGCATTTTGATCCAAACTCCGGTCAGTATTATTACTACAATTCAGCCGATGGCACAACTTCGTGKGATCGTCCATCGCCTCCAGATGGTGCGGAGGAGTCACCATTAGTCGAAGGCGAAAGCAATGGGGAAGATTCCCAAACACTGGATCTAAAACCAGAGAGCATGGACGTCGCCGGCGTTTCACAACAGGCACAAACGGAGCAGGATCAACCGAGAATTCCCGATAATCTTGTTGCGAGTGGGAACAGTCAGATGGGGGAGAAAGATGGAATTCCGAATACTTCACAAGRAATGAACAGTTGGCAATCTAGCCAGAGTGCACCAACCAATCAAAAACCGGGGCCAAACGAAGCCGGCAGCCAGGTACAAGGCGATCTCCGGCAGCCCAAAGACTGGGGTGCTCCACAACAGCAGGAAGAATACCAGCCGCAACCCGAAGCTACCAAGTGGGGCCAATCAAACTCCACCGAATCCTCATTCGTTGGAGGAGAAGCATCGGTTCAAAAGCAGCGCGAGTATCAAAATGAACAGCAACCAGAAATCGTACAACAGCAAAACGAAAATGCTCCCGSATGGGGAATGCCACCGAAAGCTGTCGTCGATGATCGCCCTTCCGAACCTRTGCGACCCTGGGGTGTGGCACCAAAGTCTCCCGAACAACATCAGCCGCCCAGGCACAATGGAGATCCGCGTAGTCAACAACAAACATCGGARCCACCGAGGAAAGAGAGCGAAGGACAACAACCGCCCGGTGCCGTTTCGTCCGTTCCTCCTAGTTATCCCGGAAACTGGGGTGCGCCGAAGACACCGCCGAGCCCCGCCACTCAACAACAAGGAAGTCCACAATTTCGTGGAGAAGCAACACAGAAGCCACTACCTGAGGCTCAACAGCGACCACCCATGGAACAGGGCCCCCCCGGTGGAAACAGATCTCCGCAGCAGCAGGCCCCACCGAGACCTCAATATATGCAAAGGCAATATCCACCTCAGCAATATGGCAACTATAACCAGCCTATCCCTCAGGGACAAGGACAACCCCAGTACGGTGGACAGGGCTCTTACGGAAGGGCTTACCCTCCTCCTCCACAASCTCAGTCCCCGCTTGCCAACACCGGGCAACTCATCAGCCAAGGGACCGAAGCAGGTGCAAGCGCTGTCAAAGAGGCCTTAAGCACTACTTGGAAAGGACTCCTGGGTTTCGGAAATAGAACTCGAGACGTAGTTGGGACAGCTCGTGAACAGGTAGTCACTGGTGCAACAGCAGCGGGACAAACAATAAGTGCTAGAAGTTCRAGTAAGTTTTGCTTGTCCCAATGAAAGTTAGTATTCGTACAAACGGTGGTAATGAAGAATTCCGATGATTAATTTCTTTGTTTCATTTTGTTATCTTTGTCGTTTAAGGCATTTGGGAGCAGGCGAAGTCGACCGTTGGGGGAGTATTTGAGAACAGTGAACCTAATGGTCAACAGCCCTATTCACTGGGTGGGCAACCCACTCCCCACAATAGGCCTCCGCCTGGATACCCAGGAAGACCTACAGGTCCCAACCAAGGCTATCCTAATGGTCCGATAGGACGAGGACCACCGCCACAAAGAAGTCCAGGTGGACCGCAGCAACCCCCCGGTCGCTACGGGCCCCCATACGGACAGCAATCACCAGGCCCTTCCGGCTATGGCGGACCGCCCAACCGAGGACCGAGTGGTGTCCCCGGAGGACAGGGGCCGCCTCCGTCGCAACAGGAACAAAAGCCACCTGGTTATCCTGGAATGAAACCAAGAAGAGACCATCCATACCCGCCAACACAAAACAATAGCCAACAACGTGGTCCTCCTATGCAATCGCAGTATGGAAACCAGCCTGGCTACCGACCGCCGTCACAGGCAGGTGGATATCCACCCAATCAACGGCCACCTTTTTCGGGTCCCCCAGGTCAGCTCAACAGAGCGCCGACAAGCATGGAACAGCAAAAGCCACCCTCCCAACCAAAACAAGCTGAGCCTTGGGAACATCCTGGCTTGACGGGTGAATTTTGAAGGAAGCCATACCATTTAACAACACTACTAGACAAAACGATGTGTGATCT